GCTCAGGTAGAAATTTTGTACCGTGATATCAATTCTATGATTGACACTCTTGGTCTCAATGCAAAGGCTTTAAAATCTTTCATCAAGGGTCACACCGAGCAACTCAAAGAAGACAGGGGCAGAAAGGATCTTGAAGATGATGAGTCATGGTGCCTAGATGAAATAAAAGCACTTTCCTATATCGTGGAAAAAGACCTAGCGCGCGAACTCGAAATGGGTAGGATTCAAGATGTGGATGACAAGATCGAAACTTGCGAAAGCCTCGAGAAGGAAACCGTCAAATTAAGACAAAGATTCGAAGAAGTCAAAAGGACGGTTCAATCACATACACACCCTGACCAAGTAGCAATAGCTCGAGCAAAACCACTCAACACCGAACAAGCCGCACAGCAACATGATCTTCGTCGAGATTATTTGAACTTCCAAAAACTCCTCTCTGAAGCCGAAGAAGGGCTCACTGTTCTCAGAGCTAAAATTGCATCTCAGGATTCTGTCGGAAATGCAAAAACCGCAGCTCCTACCGTCGAAGCGATTATGCGTACTATTACCAAGATGACTTCAATGGCAGAAAAACGCAGCGGGGATGTCGATGTTCTCGAAAACCAGATGCGCAAAATGAGATTCAATACCACTAGTCGAGAATCCTCACCCTCCTTGAGAACACCGCAGAAAAGTACAAATAGATTAAGCATGAGAGTCAATACACCCGGTACCTCGAACTCAAGTAGGCTTTTCTACACACCGGAAAGTCAGTTTAAGGGTTCGGCCTCGAGAAGATTAGGCGGATCGACATTCATGATGAGTGGTTCGGGTTCGATTTATGGAAGTCCCAGTCCGAGGAAGAAGGTCAGTGGGTACAGTGCTGAAGAAAAATCGGAATTGAGTGAAGCGGCGAAAAGGAAGAGGGAAGCGAGGGATAAATTGAGAAGAGCAGTTAAAGGGGCTGGAGTTAAGGTCAAGCCTTTTGAGGATGAGTAAATGAGAGTCGAGAAGGTGGATGAGGGATGGACGTTTACTTTTTGTATGGCCAGGCATATGCTTTAAAGAGATATTCTGAGATGAGAAAAAGATGAAAGGAGGCGTTTATAATGTTTATGTCGATGGGATGGGATGGGGGATGAAGAATACTTTTAGGAACTTATTCATGCATGGATGGATATGAGAACGAAGAAGTTGCACGGGAATTTGATAGATGGATGTTTGTATGTAACAATACCATTACTGATACCAGTACCGCAATTAGTAGTTAGTGCCTCGTTTTAATGGATATAATTGAACGAGATTTACGAGTCAAAGGATTTGTATGTGTCTGAAACATTTTGGGGACCCTCCTTTTCCTTCGGCTAAAGAGTATGGGATAGGTACATGGGTCACATCATTAGATTCACGACCAGAAGACCATCAAGGAGCTCCACAGATTCACGTACATGTCACCTTAAAGCAAAGCGTCACATCACATAATCATGCCATCCACAAAACACAAACAAGGATTCATAATCTGCTTTTTTTCCTACATGCTATCTATCCCAGCTGTCTAAACGCCATATTAAGATAAGAGATCATCAGCTAGAGGTTCTCGAATGTATTGATTCCATCAATTCTGATTTCATCTTGATCTGAGATCATATGAAACTTTTAGAAAAGATGCTCCATTTATTTCATAATGTATGATTCTCATGTTCTCATAAGAAAATTAGGGTTCGCACCATGCATGCACACCGAGTTGTCCAAAGGCTCTTAGCCCCTTCGTTCTTCCGAGCCCTCGTCTATTCACCCAGAAACCAAACCCACTCATTGCTCATTTCGTCATTCGTGTATGCTAATGACCAAAATTCCAAGAAGCCCTTGCCTTGAAAATCTGAATGGGCCATGATGGTATCGCACTTGAGACCATGAAGAACAAGTATAGTGTATCATATAACCGACGAAAGATGCAAAAGAGGTTGATGAAAAAATCTCTGTATGAAGAAAGAAAAGTACGAAGAAAATCCCCAGGCCAAACGCCAATACTACTATGAATTTATTGAGAAGCACATTGGACACGTTCGCCACCTTGGCCATCTTCATCGTCCTCGTCCATGGCACCGGCGCCTGAGGCTCTAGCTTGTTGACTGGCATCGACGTCCTCGAGATCGGCAACTTCGGTCATTGCATCGGTAGGTGGTGTAATACCTTCTGGTGCGGGTGGAAGAATGGTCTTGAGGGCCTCGAACGCTGCAGGATCGGTGGTCCAGTTCTTCTCTGGGAATTTGACATCAAATTGGATGTACAAGTTTCCGTGATCGTGGTGACGATATGAAGGCATACCCTGGCCACGAATCATCTTGACACTTCCTACAAAAGCTGTTAGACTAATTCAATGTGAGCGCGTTGGAATGCATTGCTTACCTGGGCTGATAACTTCTCCTGGAAGGATTTCAACGCTCAACCATCGTTCATCCAAATGTTCGACAAAGATAGTTCCACCAGCAAGGGCAGTCGAAAGATCGACTTCGGCATGGAAAAACAAATCGTCGTCTTTGCGTTGGAAACGGTCGTGTGGTTTTTGCTCAATCTCAAAAACAACATCACCTGGTTGCACGCCTGGTGTTTGATCACCCTCGCCTCTGAAATCGATCTTGTGTCCACTGCGAACACCTCTGTCGACATGGACGTGCAAGACCTTTCTTTCCACAGTAGTCTTTTTACCATTGCAACCCTTGCACTTGTCCTTCTCGCGGATGATCTCTCCCTCTCCATTACAGTCAGGGCAGACAGTCTGGAAACGTTGGATCATGGGTCCCATCTGGCGCATCATTGTCTTCATACCGTGGCCGTCACATCCAGCACACTTCTTAACGGCACCTTCCTTTCCACCTCTTCCCTCACACTTGGGGCAGATGACGGATTTCTGGAGAGCGAGTTTGGAGACTTTTCCGCGATAGATGTCCTCAAGTGAAACTTTGTGGACGTGATGAATGGTACGGGCCTTTGGTGGACCACGTTGTTGCATGCCACCACCACCACCGAACATACCACCGAATCCACCACCGCCAAATGCAGAACCGCCGCCGAAGAATTGTGAGAATAAATCTTCGGCATTCATTCCACCGGCTCCTCCACCACCCTCCAAACCTTCTTCGCCATATTGATCATAGATTTGGCGCTTCTGGGGGTCCGAAAGAATTTCGTATGCTCTGGAGATTTCCTTGAATTTTTCCTCGGCGTCAGGGTTGTGTTGATTCTTGTCTATTGGTCGCATGTCAGAATCACGTCTCGGAAGTGAGATGAAGAAGAAAGGAACACCAAGAGTGGAGGATCTGGGGAATGACTAACCTGGGTGATGCTTCAGAGCCCCGACTTTGTATGCTTTCTTGAGTTCTGCTTCGGTGGCAGTTGGTGCAACCTATTTTTGGAGTTGAGCATTGTTCTCCGAATCACAGAGAGGAATGAAGCCTTACACTTAACAGATCGTATAACTTGGTATCCTTGACCATTTTGTATGTTGGTGTAGAGAAAAGATCTCTTTAACGTTGATTTTCTTTATGTGTTTGAGTTTGTGTTTCTGGTCGATGAGAGACTTTAAATACAATGTCGGGCTAGGCTCTCTTGTATTCTAGAAGTAGTGGTAGAAGAAGTGTTAGCCATCCGAGAAACGCATCAAACTAACCCAACCGGTGTGATGATGGGCCCGTCGAATCACATAGATAAGTATGCCAATACAACTCATCATGGCACGGTAGCACATATTGAGATACTACCATAGACAGGCTACATGACTAGAATTGTGGAAACCATGAATTACTTACAAGTTGTTACTGTTCACGACTCGGCGCAGAGGTAGGGAAGTTTGAGGGAAGAAGAAATAAAAGTTCTTCTTTCTTTCTCGAGGGAATAGGTCTCAAAGTCAAGAAAGTGTTTGCAGAGTTTGACTTGATAAACGTTGACAGACTTTAATTGTCGAAAGAATTAATAAGAGTGGAAGAGGGTGAGAGGAGATTGATTGTCAATAGCGATAAGTGATTTCGAAGGGGAAAGAAAGTTAAGTAAGTAAGATTTTTCTGAATGGACTAAGGTTAAATAAATGAGTAAGTAGGGAGTAGTAGTAGTAGTAGTAGAAGTAGTAGGTATGGTAGTGTGTACCCAGCCAGATGTGAATGAGATTCTTATTCTTCTTATTATTATTACCTACTTGTAGTACTTTTGTTTTGCCTTGACAGAAGACAGAAGCAGAAAGAAGCGGCGGGCAAAATATTTTAGAATCTGAAAGAAGGGTCTCGAAAATGGACAAGGATTGAGAATGTTTTCTTTGGGGGGAAATCAGGAAAATCTGCCCCTCTTGGATATATCGATAGATATATATCGTAGATATTCACTCAATTTATATACCTAGGTAGGTAGCTACCTATATATAGGTATAAATGAAGATTATTCATATTGATTTATGCTAGATATCTACTAGTACCTAGGTAGATATATATTATTTCCAGATGGATATCTATCTAGGACTTTGTAATCAATGCTCTTGTCTCACCTGTATCCATTTCTTTCCACACCATCCTTCACTTTGCTTATTCTGATGTAAGGCTACGCTAGACTATATTGAGACTAATCCAGCAATGACATCCGGATATTCCACATCAACCAATCACCATCAACGGATAATATTTCTTTGGCTCAAACTTCAAAGGTGGGTTTCTTATCGATAAGCTGTTGATAATTCTTCCACATTTTGGCATCGGAACAGATCCCCTAGGTAGCCACGGTAGGGAGATTATCTCGGTTTATGTACAGAATGCCTAGGTATATGTAGAAGACTGTACAGCTGAGGTATGGAATTCCACAATTTCATGAATAAAATAAATCGAATTTGTCAGAGAAACATCCCTGATCATTCCATTGCTCATCTCGCACAGTCAAATACATACTAGGTATATATATCGAGAACCAGAGACTTGTGCCCCTCATTCTTCCTTTCACCCCCATCAAACCTCATCAAAACCCATTTACGACTTTTAATCATGAATTCCCTGACCGATCAAGAAGCCTTTGCAATTGCAGTCGAAGAAGCCAAGATTGGATATGAAGAAGGTGGTGTGCCTGTACGAATCCCCAAGATCATTCCATTGCCAATCTCTGGCCATTTCTAATCAAGATGCCATAAATGTCAGATTGGTGCAGCTTTAGTCTCAAGAGATGGGAAGTTGTTGGGCCGGGGCCATAATATGAGAGTCCAGAAAGGGAGTGCTATTCATCATGTGAGACTTGATATTGTTTGTTGCTTGCCAATGAGGAAATGCTGATGCAACTTAATAGGGAGAGACATCCGCTTTGGAAAATTCAGGTCGCCTCCCTGCCTCGGCTTATAAGGGGTCCACCATGTATACAACGTATGTCACGAGAAAACCTCGCCATCAAACAGAATTTCCATATTCAAGAAGACAAAACTAACCAATCACGGGTAGATTGTCTCCATGTGATATGTGGTATGTTTGATATTCATATGAATGACTCTGGAATATACTAATCACGATGGAAAGTACGGGAGCATGTATTTTGTACGGAATATCACGAGTCGTCGTGGGTGAGAACAATACTTTCCTCGGCGGTGAAGCATATTTGAAGCAAAGAGGAATTGAAGTTGTCAACATGCAAAGCAAGGAGTGCCAGGAATTGATGGAGAAGTTCATCAGTGAGAAGCCAGAATTGTGGTATGTTATACAATCTAATCCTAAAGGACTATCTTTGACTCAATACTTTTTCATAGGAACGAAGATATTGGTGTCGAGAAGAGGGTTCACACCAAGGAATGATCAATACACTTGCTGATTTGGGTATCACTTGGTTAATCGGTGAATCTCTTGGAAATAGAATTTCAAATCCTCGGGGTTGACGAATGGCGTGATACCTGTGAGAAGAAAATGGATTAGTTGAGAAAAAGCAGTCGAATAGGGAATACCAACCATGACCGAGATTTGCAATCCATCCTTGTTTTCCTCCACCAAAACCATTTACCATTTCCTCGACTACCCGAGTGATTTCGGAACGAGTTCCATATAGAACTCCTGGGTCTGCATTGCCTTGGAAGACAATTGGGCGGTCTCCTCGTATCCGAACGGCCTCCGCGGGGTCTTGTAACCAGTCCAAACCTACTACCTGGTATCCTAAATCACACAAGGAATCTAAGGCATACCAAGCTCCCTTTGCAAATACAACCATTGGGACTTGCTCGAGACCGAGCTCCTTTAAGCGTTTTGGTAGATTTTCCGATATATAGGCAAGATATGGTCGTGAGAACTCCTTGAAAGAAGATGGGGATAACTCCGCAGCCCAAGAGTCGAAAACTTGAACCAACTGATATAACCATTAGTTTCGACCAAGTAAAGTCGCGAGCGGCCAATGAACTTACCTGTGCACCAGCTTTTACTTGCAAAGCCAAATACTCTACACACACTTCTGCGATCTTCTGAAGAAGCGCCTTGCTTGCTTCTGGATACCTGTAAACCCAAGTCTTGGTCTTCACAAACAACTTGCTTCCTCCACCTTCCACCATGTAACATAACAGGGTCCATGGAGCACCACAAAATCCAAATAATGGTACTCTTCCCTTTAACTTGTGTCTGGTCAAAGTGATTGCCTTGTAAACATAGTCCAATTCTGCCGCGACATCCACCTTCTTGTTCAAAACTCGCTCATATTGGCCGTCCTCAGGTGACTCCAGAGGTTCGGGAAAATGAGGTCCTTTCTTGTCAACCATCTCTACGGTCATCCCCATAGCTTGAGGAATCACGAGAATATCGGAAAATATAATAGCTGCGTCGACAAGTCCGGCGAAACGTTCAATGGGCTGGAGAGTTAATGTCGATGCGATCTCCGGAGAGCGGCAGCATTCAAAGAAGTCATTCTTTCCTTTTGCTTCGTGGTATTCAGGCAGGTAACGTCCAGCTGTAAGATTTCCAGATGTTAGCTATCTCTATCTCGTCAATTTCATTGACTTCAAACATTGGCCATACCTTGACGCATCACCCACATTGGTGGACGCTCAACCTTCTGACCTGGACTTCGTTAGCAATCAGCATTCTGAAGATTGAGGAATGATTGCATCTACCCCATGCTGTTCTAAGGATGAGGTCGTTCTGTAATGGTTCAAACTGATGCTCCATAGTGTACTAATTTATATCTCAAACCAGATGAGGGGACTCTTTTGCTGGAAAAACGCCACAGATGTACAAGATACAAACGTCTGAGATTGCGTCAAACAATAAGGTTGACAATAAGTCCGAGGAGAAGTTAGGAAGAAATCTAATTGAAGTATAAGGTTTATATGAACCTTGGTCTATTTATTTTCTTACTATTACCATTGCCTAATTCCCATGGTCCCTTCGGGGTTTCATTTTCACCCCACCAAACGTGAGCTTCGAGATCCACAAAATTAACAGGGACGAGGGAGCTCTGGAAAAACTGTTGATCCGTTGCATTTCAATTATTGTTCGCTATGTACGAATTAATGATACCCAAACTCCATTGATAAAGCTTCCGCTGGAGTCATTCTCACTGTACGATATCTTGCGCATGAAGAATATAGAGCATGCTATTCTGCTCCAAAAAGATCTGATTTCAATACCTCACCAATGTCGAATCGCAAAGCATTAACGCGGCTGGCATATTTTTCAACGAGCGATGCTCCCTCGCCCATCGACTTCCTGTCGAAGGCTCAAACATCTCACAACATCCTTTGAATGTGTATGGGTCTCTGAGGAGGATCTTTGCAATGCATTCCAACGCTTCTGCGGTGCCTCGAATACAATACGTCGACATGGAAGCTCAGTGCCTGGCCCGTTGGAAAGCAGAAGGAGATTGGGGAGGAGGAGAATGGCATATGCCACAGAGATGACACAGGCTTCAATGTACGATCCGGGGGCTTTGTGGTGCTCATCATGGGGGCCAGAGAAGATTGAATCGCAGTGGGAGGCTCCAACACCTCGAATCACGGAACAATCAAAGCATCCGCCAGCTTTACCATCTTGGTTGACCAATTGGACTCCTATGCCCGAAGAACCTGCGGACGTTTCTATGGAGCCTGTAATTGCGGAAGACTCGGGCGAGAAAGGCTACGATATCTTGCGACAGGAAAGGCATATCCAAGACCATTTTCACGATTTTGAAATGGCAATAGAGCTAAATCATCGAGAATCTAATGAGTTGAAAGCGGACTGGAATACGGAAAAGAAGAAGGGTCGGCATCAACGGTTGATTGGACCGAAGAAAGCTTTAAAGCTTTGCATATCGTTTGGTAAAAGACTCCAACAGAGTCTTACTCTTGGACTAGTTACTAGCGATCTGCTGTCTAACTCACTTCGAACTGTTACAAATGTTCTCGTGGATATTCATAGCGGCTCTTACTCCAACGCTAAAGGTTGTAGCAGACAAAGTCCCAAGACGGAAGATTTCTTTTGTGGAGGAGATGCTGATGCAGCTAAAAAACTGCTTGCTTTCTATAGACAAATCTGGGATGGCATTGTGTCTTGTAAAGTTCTCACGCCCGCCGATTTTGATTCGAAAGTCATAGCAGAATATTTGTCGTTGATTGCAGATCTCCCAAGCACCAATGAAACACAACTTCTGGTTTCTGAAATACTTCCTTCGTTATCCGCAGTTCAATTGGGTAGTAATGTAGACAATATTTTGTCTATATTCAATAAGTGGTCATTAAGCTGGCTCCGAAAAATGACTGCTCCAACAAATAGAAATAAATTCTTGATGGAATCAGAGACATCTTTGATATCCTCACAACGAAGTATTAACCACCTCCGAATGCTAATATGGTCCAATCGAGGCAAGGAAACGCCTGAGCTGTTGAAACGCGTTCGAGAAATCCTAAACCAAGCATCTACGGATCTTTCCACTGCCAGCACAGAATTGTGGTCTGCGGAAAACATGTTTTTGCCTCACAGGCACTCCATTGATGTGATGAGCCGAACTCTTACCAATTTACCTAACGAGATAACTTCTGTTCTGATCAGATCTCATTCGGGTGTCATCTGTTCTTCAACTTTCTGGGACCAGAAGAGTGTATGGGGGCTCAAAGACTACCTTGCTCAATCCCACAGGGCACGATTAAATTGGCTTTCTGTGCTTTCCAGATTGAAAAACATCGACAATTCAATGTTCACAGAGGCATTCAAAATATTGCAGCAACAAGATCTCAGTCCGTTCAATCTGCACACCAAGGAATATACTTTGACATGGCGCCAGATGTCTGAGCTTGTTCTAACTCGTTGGGCTAGTCAGGGCGCTTTAACAAACAGCAGCGTAGTCATCGACACCTTCAAGATCAAGACCCTTCATTCTCCCTCTTCCTTTGGGTGGCTTCTGTGGACTTTAAAAGAGTACGGACAGTTGAGCGACGAGAAGATACAAGATCTGTTTAGTTTTCTCCGAGATATACAAGCGTTCGGCCACATACACGCAGTGCTAAGGCAGTCAAAAATGTTCAACTTGCGGATAAATTCCAAAGTCCTAGCAGACCTCATCAACACAACGACTCTCGTAGATCTCCAAGCTGCGTATAATATATACATGCAACATTGCATAGGTGAGATCGAGCCTGAGAAGTGTGCGCCTTTGTTTGCTACAATGGTATATCACGGAAGCGAGGGAATCTGGGCCGCATTGGATGCTCCAATATACGCAGCAATGCCAAAGTGGAGACGAAAAGCCCCATCACCAGAGATTCTTTCACAAGCACGGATTCAACTTATACATGAAATGGCAACAGCGTTTGCACATCAAAATATCGAGCATCCTAGACAAGCTCTTCGTAATGTTACACAATGTTGGCACTATCTTCGTGCGCATAAGGTTAAACCGGCGTCGGAAATCTCAAGGGCGATTACACAGGTGGGCATCATTGCGGATGTGAGGAATGAAAAGTGGGGTCGAACAGAAAGAGTGAGATGGGTTCTGGATGTTATTGAAGAGGCGGAAGGCCCAGAGGTTGCGGATGCAGTGAGAAAGGCGGTGGCTAAATGGAGGCAAAAACTAAAAATCAGACTTGAGAAGAAGAAAGAAGGCTATATTGAGTAGTATTTAAAGCTTTGTCAATTCAATAGAGGTATACCCCGGAGTCTATAGACGTCTGACAGCCATTTCGTAGACAATCAACAGGTTACATCAAACTACCCAACAACCTCTTCATACTATATTCCAATGTCATATATTAATATCATTTTCCTTTCCAATTATTAACTATGATCTAAGCCTCGTCACCTCTTTGAATGTCACATCTAACCGTCACCATCACACCCAATCCCCAATATCCAAATCATCCCAACCAAAAATGCATATCATGCCATACAAACATCACACTACACTTTCATCCATCCATTCACTCTTAAACAATCTACCCGTCATACAAATACCCTAACCTTCTCAGTTCCTTCATCAAACATCTCATCGTACGACCTGGCGCAGTGGTCTACACAACTGACTTACATACACTGCGTTTTAACCATCTTCGGATGGGTGGGATGTTTGATAGATTACGGACAGAATTGACCCCATTTCGAAGGGTTCTGCTAGTAATAAAATCCTCATATCAGAGAGGGTTTTCCCATGTATAACATGGTTTTTTGCCTTTTTGGTTGGAGGAAGAGAGTTTTTGTGGGGGGATGAGTGAATCTCGCGAGTGATGATGACTTTGTTTTGGGGGAGGGAAATTTTGTGCTTTTGTGTTTTTGTGGGGAGGAGGAGAGTGAATCTATGGAATAGGAATTTTGATGTCAGTCGGAGGATGGTAGAGTATTGTTATTGTTTTTGGCCTAATTGTGTATGATGTCAAGATATGGTTTGTGTATTTTTTCCATTCAATTGATCAGTAAGCTAGCTAACAAACACTTATTCCTCATCCTCCATTTTTCTCAAATTTCCAATATTATACAAGAGACCACCCAACTTATTTTTCTTCTCCGCATCCAAAATCTCCTCGCTATCTTGCGATACAAATCCTTCCAATTGCACATTATCGAATTTCTCATTTTCGTATTTGAAGAATTGTAGAGGACTTGCGACAGGTGAGTTGTCGTCCTTTACGGCGATGATGGAACCGCATTCGTGGATGTTGTCGATCGAGATTATGAGGGAGAATGGAGATGATGGGATAGGATTGCTGAGGGCGCAAGAGAGCGCATTGCCTGGTAGGGTGATGGTTTGGGTATGTACGAGTTGGTTGGAAGGCGTGAGAGTATAAACGAAGGCGGCAGGGACACTGGGACTTTGTTAGCTTGAGTTCAGTTTGGGCTCTTGGTGGGTAGGATGATGAAACTTGCCCTTCAGATGTAACTACGATGATATCTCGATCAGATGTTTCGTCTTTGACGTGATAAATACCCGTTACTGCAACCTTCTTAGACTCGGTCTCGAGTTCGTCTTTGGTGGTTTCTGAACCAAATGCTTCAATTTGAAACTTGAGATTTACTTTCGATAGTAAAGATCCATCGAGCCAGTTCCAGACGTGTAGGTCGTCGTCTCCACCACCAGAAATAAGAATTTCTGGTTTTGTAGAAGGGATACATAAACGACTAACATATTCAACATGTCCAAGACAGAATCCCTCAATGACGTGCGATTGAGGAATTCCACGATTAATACGAATATGCTCATCACGATCAGCTGTAAGAATGTAGTGGCGACCTGACACGGAAGCTGTCACGATATCCGTTAACATAGAAACATGTCCAAGTAGAAGTTTGTGCTCAAAATCTGGACCAGTTTTCTCAGACACTTTGTTGGTCTGTTTCTTTTGAGCCTCAAGAGCTTTTAAGTTGCGTACGGAATGCACTGTCAAGGCACTGGCTGAAGGCTGGAACTTCTTTGGGGCTTGCTTTTCGGTAGAAACATCTGCTTTAGCGGATGGAACTGAAGGAGATGGGATGAGAGGAAGAGAAAACACATCTCCAAATTTATCGGCGCTGATTATGGTACTACAGTCATCGGTAGTGGCAAGAGCACAAGGCCGTTTAGGCATAGTACTAAAATCGTCAGTCAGAGTCACTTTTTGAAAGCAGACAGTCCCTACCGATCACTAATCTGTTTTAACCCTTTGCCTACTGTATCGTCCCATGCCAACACTCTGATAGTTTTGTCCTCGCCGGTAACTGCAATCACGTGCTGGAGGTCTTTTGTGATAGTTAAAGCAGTAATGGGTGAAGGTTCAACAGTCTTTGGTGGTGTATTCTTCGCCTTTTTCTTCAATTGCTGTACGACAACAATCTTCTCTTCCTTTTCCTCACTAACGGACAACTTCCGTCTCTTTGCTGGCGGGGTTGGCGATTCCAATGGGGCATCTGGAGTAGATGTTTCTGGGTTCTGCTCCTCACTTTTGGTTTGCGTCTCTTCTCCAGTTGTCTTCAATGCATTCGTACTTTCTGGCACTGGAGACTTCCACGTTGAAAGGTATGAACCATCTTTAATATCAAAGGTATCTATGCTTGAGCCTCGAGCTGCTACGAGATAGTTACCACATTGTTTGAGGCATTGGTATGGTGTTCTGAGTTTCGACATCTTTTTTGATAGACTGACTTGGCCTCCCGATCAAGTAAATAGGTTATAAACGGAAATACAATTCTGTCCTTGAAGTGGCTATTCGTACATCAAAATACCAATAAATACCCCAAAAATACAAAATATTTATCCAGATATCTCGAATTTATTTATCAACAAGGGTCTGAGCTTCTCAGCCAATCAAAACAAATTTTCGCATGCCAAATTGCGCTAAGCACTAGTGGCTCCCACATTCTAGCAATTCGTCAAACTCATCAAATGGATCTTTTTTCGAATTTTGATTTACTTCGCGACAATCACAATTCTTCCACGAAGAACAAATCCTCAACTCCAACATAATAAATTTGTCCTTAAATCACCTAACTTCACAAATAAGAAGATATGGGGGGCAAATCCGAAAACAAGGCCGGCTACTTCGATAAGCTCAAGGGCTTACTCGAGGAGTACAAGTCCATCTTCATCGTCACCGTCGACAATGTCAGCTCTCAACAAATGCACGAGATCCGTGGATCTCTCCGTGGTGAGGGTGTTGTCTTGATGGGAAAGAACACCATGGTACGTTTACTCGGGATCGATGGATTTTGCTATTGTTTGCGCGCTCGGAAAACTAATTTTTGTGATTGAATAGGTCCGCCGTGCCGTCAAGGGCTTCGTTGGCGACAACCCAGAATACGAGCGTCTCCTTCCTTTCGTCAAGGGTAACGTCGGTTTCGTTTTCACCAACCAAGACCTCAAGACCATCCGTGACAAGATTCTCGACAACAAGGTCGCTGCTCCAGCCAGAGCTGGTGCCGTTGCCCCAGCTGATGTCTACGTCCCAGCCGGTAACACCGGTATGGAACCAGGAAAGACCTCTTTCTTCCAAGCTCTCGGTGTCCCAACCAAGATTGCCCGTGGTACCATTGAAATTACCGCAGACTTGAAGCTCGTTGAGGCTGGTTCCAAGGTCGGAGCTTCCGAGGCTACCCTTCTCAACATGTTGAACATCTCTCCGTTCACATACGGTATGGGTATCTCCCAAGTTTACGATGCTGGTAACACTTTCCCACCAAGTGTTCTCGACATCGAGGAGTCCCAACTTCTCAAGGCTTTCAGCAGTGCTATCACCACCATCGCTGCTATCTCCTTGGCTGCCAACTTCCCAACCCTTCCATCTGTTATGCACTCTGTTGTCAACAGCTACAAGAAGGTTTTGGCCGTTGCCATCTCAACCGACTACAGCTGGTCTGAGATTGATGAGTTGAAGGACCGAATTGCCAACCCAGAGGCCTACGCCAGTGCCGGACCTGCCGCTACTGAGGCTGCCCCAGCTGCTGCTGCTGCTGAGGAGGCCAAGAAGGAGGAGTCTGAGGCTGAGGAGTCCGCTGATGAGGGATTCGGAGGAATGTTCGACTAAATTCGTCAATGATATATCTGAAATGAACTCACTGTATGTCTGAAAGGATATATAAGGAAACATCAAGATTATCTAGTTGTCATCCAAGTATCTTGACTCTGGAAAAATGAAAAAACTTAACAAGCCCAAGCATGTGTATCGTGGTATGACAATGAAATGTGATGTGAAAATCACAAATATATCAACTCCAAAAGGTTCGTCGCTATTTCTTCATATACCCCATAATTTTTTCGAGCTTTGTGATGAATAAATCATAGCTTTTTAACCCCGAGTGCATGCGCACATTGAAGATTAAAAACAACAACACTCTAATTTTTTCCTGAATGCTTTCAATATTTATCATTATTTTATACAAATACTTATGGTCGTGATCAATTACTGACTATCTATTCAGGATTTACATCATTTTCCAATATCTGCCTAGCAACCTCAATGGCTTCCCTCGGCAGTCCAGCCAATTTAGCAACCTTGAGAGCGTGACTCTGTCTGTTGATACCCTCCTTCAATCTATACCTATACCTAAATGCTCCATCTGTGTTCCCATCCTCTTCCACATCCGTACAATAAAAGCCCACCGCGTCCATGTTGTTCTTTTCTATCAAATCCACCAATGCGTGGAAATGTGTCGCAAATAAAGCCCTGCATTTATTCACATGGTAAAGATGATGCAAACATGCAAAGGCTACGGCCACACCGTCAGTTGGTGTTGTTCCTCTACCAATTTCGTCCATGATGACGAATGATCGTGAAGTCGCATTTTTGAGGATCGTCGCACTCTCCAACATCTCCACCATGAATGTCGATTGATCTCGGTAGAGATTATCTGCCGACCCAACACGACTGAAAATATGATCTACAATCCCCAACTCTGCATATTCAGCAGGTACATATGATCCGACTTGTGCAAGAACCGTAATCAATGCATTTTGACGCAGAAAGGTACTTTTTCCAGCCATATTTGGCCCTGTGACTAACCATGCTTTATGAACGTCTCCCACCAGACAATCATTGGAAATAAAACTTCGACCTTCTTCCTCTAATCCAGTCTCAACAGTAGGGTGTCTCCCGCCAATAATTTTGTGCGCAGAACTCGTATTGAGGATAGGACGAGTCCAACCTCTTCCATTCGCCAATGTAGCAAATGAACATGCGATATCAATTTCATCCAGTACAGCCGCATTACGTCGAAGTTTCACGAGATTGGTAATAGCCAGTTCGCGAAGTTTGTAAAACAATCGCTGTTCTTCGGCTCGAATGTGGATGCGACATTGATCGATTTCTTGACCCAGGAATGACCATTCGGGATGGTGAAGAGAACGGGTACTTTTGCTTGAGCTGATGGTGCGGGCTTCGGGCATGTCCAGACTTATATCTCTTCCTTTAACGTGGCAGATGTGACCGAGGCCGGGAGTGAAGCGAAGGGTGAGACTTGTTGCGCCGAGACGGTCGCAGAGAGAAGCTGCCAGGGCGGTCTTTTGATTTGCTAGAGAAGATAGTTCTGTGTGGAGACGTTTGAGGGTTGGCGTGGCGCTTGGTTTCATGATCCAGGCTTCACTCTCCTGGTTGTAATATTCGCGAAGGCTGGTAGGTTTCTTGCGGTTGCTCTTCCGAAGGATGGATGTTTCTTCTGTGTTTCCTTCCGAGGCGACGATTGCTTCGGCCAATGCTTGCATCTCTCCACTCTCACCTTCTTCAATACGATGTTGCTGAACTAGACCTTCTTCGTCAATGGCTTCTGTAATTGCTTGGGCGAGTTCCATTGGGTCTTTGAGGTGGATACGAGTAAGTAGTTCTTGTATGCAAGGCTTGGGCGTCGCATTATGAACTTCGAGTGCGAATGCCAAATCTCGAGTAGCATGTATTGTGCTAGCTAAATCTAAAAGATCATCGCCATCTCCTCTGCCAAACGCAAACTTTTGCAGCAGACGATGGGAATCATGGCTGCGTTTCAGGAGAGTGGTTACTCGGTCTCGAAGATTCTCATTTTCAAGCATGTATGTCACGAGATCGAGCCGAGAGTTTATCACATCCAGAGATGTCGAAGGTGATGCTATTCTTTACGTCAGCCTTTGACGAACACCAAATTATTGAGAGAAACAAAATTTACCGAGCCAATTCTCCAACAGTCTTGCACCTCCTTTTGTGACTGTACGTCGGATTGTGTGCAATAAACTACCACTGAAGACGTCTTCCTTGATGGTCTTCTTGATCTCTAGAGCTCTCATAGTATTCTTATCGATTCCCATAACATTCAACTGGCGTGCAGGAGGTTGAAGTTTCATGTTCGTACTTTGTAATCTTGTTTCAACATAATGAAGTAAGCAACTGCCAGCCGATATCTCTTCCTCCGTGAAGGTGTCTATCGAGGATGGTGAAACTGCCGATTCTAGCATGGGGGTCCACTCGGATATAGGTTTCACCCCTGAAAGCGTTGCGTAAGTGATCATATGGTGTTCGTCGGTCAGAATGGTAAATATTTCGTGACTTTTCATAGATTGCATCTCTTCATTCAATACAATTTCGCGTGGAGCTATACGGGCCAGGAAGGAAGGAAGTTGTGAAAGCGATGACTTTTGGGTGAAGAAATGACCAGTTGATAGATCCAGCCAAGCCAAACCGATTGATTTATGATACCTCTCATATTCAATAGCATCAATTGTATCACCGTGCTGTATGTGTATTGCCAGTACATAGTTGTTCGAAAGAGGGTCCATGAAACCTTCATCAATGAGAGTACCAGGTGTAACAACACGTGAGACCCTTCGATCATGCATCAGCCCTCCAGATTTTACCTTGTCCGAAATATCATTTGGAAATTCTTCCGATATAGCAACATATCGATTTAAATCTTGAACAAGTATCTTCAAATAACGATCCAGTTGATGAAAAGGAAACCCAGCCTATCTAGTGTTATTACATAATAGGACGACATCATGATGAAGACTTACCATCGACACAGGTCCAGCGTTTGTTTTCTTGTGGGAAACCTTAAGACCAAGAAGCGGGCCAAATTCATCGGCATGCTCAAAATATAATTCGTAGAACCCTCCAACACGTGTTATAACCACACAGTTCTCAAACTTGAGCATATTGTTCCTGGCCTGCATGATCACGGTTGGATATGGTGGTGGTTCTTCCTCAATTTCCAATGGCTCCAGCGGAAGTAGTCCTTGGGGAAGTTCTACTTCACCTGATGTCTTGGCTTTTTTGGAACTTTTCTCACCTGTTGACGAAGATGGAGTAACTTGCGATTCTTGTATCTCTGAGGATTCGGGGTCAAGAATAATCAAACCTTGGGGCAAACCCTCTATGCGCCTGGTTCTCCTTGATGGCTTTACTTTCTTTGTGTCATCTTCAACAGAGTCTGAAGTTGCGGAAAGTCGCCGTTCTTCAGATTCAGCTGTGGCTGGCACTGTCTCTTGAAGTAAATCCTGGACATCTTCAAAAAATTCCAAGGAAACTCTTTCTGGAGATTTATCCTTAATAAGTGATTGCTCCAAATCCAAAGGTTCCAAGGGCCTCAAATCTAGACCATGAGGAAGATCATTGAAATTAAAAGTAGATTTCGTTTTCTTTCCTCGATGAAAAAGTTGAGGTCTGAAATAAATGACATTATTGCGAGCAGATGATGACAGAGTGAAACGAGACGAAAAATTGGCAATGCATCTTCTAGTACTTAAGGAAGGGAAGGGAACAATGGTATTGTAGCTGCGAAAGGTCCTCCTCGCATTAAAGAATGATATGTGCATTGGGGGATTTTCGAAAATTCGACATTCCAATTGATATGTAATAAGTGAAGTGCGTTAACCAAATTGAGAAAGCGTGATGAGGGTGAGAAACGTGAGGGGGTCCACCGGTCAATGCAGCGGGATTACCTAAGCCTTGGACAGGTCTTGGCAGACGCAAACGGGGAAAACTCAGTATCGTGACCAATCAGAAGGATGGATTTAAGATGAAGACAACCTTGGAACTTGGAAGCTATCGAGGTAGTAGGTACCCGTGGACGTAAAGGGAAAGTCGAAAGAGAAGTGTGAATTTGCTTTGAACATTGTTTGTTTACGACTATAACACGTGATTTCAAGGGTACGTTACGATTATATCTAAATTATATATATCGTAAGTCAGATTCCATGTATTTATCAATTCTCCTATGAGAAGGTAGGTAATGTTTGAATATATATATATATATATCATCACAATATAATATACGTAGACATTAACACATCGTGAGGTATTTGTAAAGAGAGGAAGAAGCTTTATCATCCATCGGTAATCTACTCGAGTACCTGGAGACTTTTTACCAATTGCTTACTTGAAGCTATGGTAATGTTTTCATAATTGACAAGTTACAACCAATCTAATTAATCTAATTCTCCTTGTCTGCTTTTCTACATGCCAAATTTGATTAACCAACCACTTATTAAAGCATCTGTAATCAACTCACTAATGCGTTTATGGAAATCTCAATATATTCCGAGGTGCAATTACCTCAGGGAACCCTAGTAATGCATCAGATACTCGTACTTGGTAGATATCTCTAACCCCTCAATTGCTTCTTTGACTTTCCCCAACCGAAAGTCAATATTGATGGTGAATGAATGAATGAAGGGATGTATGAATGCATATAAGAAGGGAGAGACTTTCCCATCTATTCGAGTCTGTTCTTTATTCCTCATCATTCAATCTTCAATCCATTCTCTGTCCAAGTCTCTCCCATACTCATACTCGCACTCTTCATATTAATCTTCCTTCTCTCAATTGATTCTCTATCAAACCTCTCATCATGGCTCCTAAAGTAGCTATTGTTTTCGTAAGTACTTCTCTATGTCATCCCCGTCATTGTACAGAACGAAGAGACTAGACTCCTCGAGTTCTCTTCATGCTCTGTTGGTTCAATCTTATCCACCCATACGTAGAAAATATTCACATACCACATTCCACATGAACCCATCGTTGATAGTCTTTCAAATTCCTTCCACCTGAGCAAATGCCATGATACTAACCACCATGTCTCCCACAGTACTCCATGTATGGCCACATCCAAAAGCTTGCCGAGGCCGAACAAGCAGGTCTCAGGAAAGCCGGAATTGAAGCCGATCTCTTCCAGTAAGTTTCAAACTATCATGTTCGAAAGAACTCCAAAGCCCTCATTACTAATTCACCAAATAGAGTTCCAGAGACTCTTCCTCAAGAGGTCTTGGCTAAGATGCACGCTCCTGCAAAATCCGACATTCCAGTCATCGACCCTCAGACTCTTGCAAACTATGTAAGTCTTGCCAATCCACTTTGAACCATAAAATCATACTCAACCCAAGCTTTCAATCCCATCCCACTCCCACACCCCGTATCCACCCAGCTGACACAGCCCAGGACGCATTCCTCTTCGGTATCCCAACCAGATACGGTAACTTCCCCGCCCAATGGAAAGCTTTCTGGGACGCTACCGGTAGCCAATGGCAAACCGGAGGCTACTGGGGAAAATTCGCAGGAATATTCGTTTCCACCGGCACTCCAGGTGGTGGACAAGAAAGCACCGTTCTTGCTTCTCTCTCAACATTAGCTCATCACGGCATCATCTATGTTCCATTGGGTTATGCAAAGTCGTTCCCACAACTCGCAAATATGGAAGAGGTTAGAGGTGGTTCCCCATGGGGTGCCGGAACTTTCGCTGTGAGTCTTTTTTCTATCTGTTTGAGAGGATTTTGTTGGGGTATACTGCATGAGTGAGGATATAGGACTGATACATTGTAGGGCGCCGATGGATCTCGATCACCCTCTGCTCTCGAGTTAGAACTTGCTACCATTCAAGGCGAGGAATTCGGAAAGACCATTAGCAAAGTCAACTTCGCGTGACTAGATGTAAGTGAACCCGAAGACAACAGTCAACGATCACAATTGATTCACACTGCTAACCCTCATCAACAGGGTTCCGTCACAAACAATGAAGTAAAGTCAGAATCAATTTTGGCAGATAGCAATGGAGAACCCAAAAATACCCAACAAGCAAACCTTAAAGCAGACAAAGGAGAAACTAGGCCCAAAGACAGGGAAGGCCCATGTGGCTTACCTTCCAAGTGCACAATTCAATAATTAAAACTTTCTAATAGCAAAATTTACAATATTCAGATGTAATCTTCAGAAGCTCATGGCGAGTGGTTATCCAATGGCGTGACATAAATGACATGATGCAAGCAACATAAACACGCTGGCCACAAGTTATCCATAATGCAATGCTTTCAACATTTTGGTACATTAAATTTTCACGAAACTAACTCCTCATACAAGGGATGTATATATAGTTGTTTATATGGGTGGCATCCTTTGTAGAATACCCTCCTGTTGTTGAATAAGTCGTCTCACGTTGCCATGACCGATTCTAATTTCCCACCTCGGTCAATGTGCAATAATCTATTTTACATTGTGGTTGTCTCAAACGCCACGCTCCTGAAAGAAGATATGACCTCCATAAAACGCCTCAAGTTAAAGATTGGAATCATACAATACATGAAAGAGATGAATGTAAACATGTAACAGAAGTGTGACAAAAGACGTAAATACTATGCATGCTTGTATGACTACTCTGCCCTTTTTTCAAGAGAGTAAATTTGCTAGTGATGGACTCGCGCTTGCTCCCCCATTGACCTGGTTGTTATTCGGTCTCACACCATTTAACGGAGGAGGGAGACCATTCGGCGGAGGAAGTCCATTGGGTGGGGGAGGCAGTCCATTTAATTGCCGGTTGAGCTGTGGACTACCGTGTGGTGGTCCGTGTGGTGGTCCGTGTGGTAGTCCATGTGGTACACCATACGGTCGAGAATGCATCGGCGCACTGTGTTGCGAGAAAGGATGCTCCGGGGCACGAGGAGGCGGTCCGCCATTTGTCAAATGATGAGGAGGGGGTCTATTAGAAGCATATGATCCGTAGCTTCCATTCTGCATATGCATGGGTGGAGGTCCAGGAAGTCGATGAGGAGAGGGCGGATAACCGTTGGGCAAACGTCCGTTTTGATGAGGGGATGGCTGTAGACCTTGCACAGGCTGACGATTGTGAGGTTGCCCTCCCAGTTGTGGCGCAACTCCAGGCATCCTTGGCGAGTGATTGCCATTGACTTGATGTACGGCAGCGATATTCGTTGGGACTGGAGATTGACGAAGCCAGCTGTTGTACGGGGTGTTGGACGGATACGATGGAGGTTGGGGCGGCCATGGGTATTGATGCGGCGTATGATTGCGCTCAAGCTCTGGCGGAGGAATATTCGCAATGATAGGTGTAGAAGTCGGTATAGGAAGGGGCGCAGGAGGTCTAGAAACCTCGCGATCGCTCACCGTGGCTATAGGCATAGGTGGAGGCGTCGGTATTGGTGTAGGTTGCTTTCGAATTTTCTTCCAATGGCACTGATGGCATTGAAACTCCGTAGGTAAAGGGGTCGGCTTTTTGGTATTTTGATCCAAGGCTGCGACTGCGAGTGCAACATGAACTCCACTTCTTTCACCTGTTGAGGCATTAGGTAAATGGCCATTGGCGACCCCAGGGCTGTCTGATTTGGTAGGATCGTGATCCAGTATAGCGTTCAAGGGAGCTGCAGGACTGCTAGTTGCAACAGTAGTTTCTATCATCGGCCACCATTTAGGGCTGATGTCAACACTACATGTGGCACATGTTCTTTCTGTGTCGCGCACCGAAAGTGAAGTGCTCAATGGTGAATCCTCAACTTTGACCAATGCTAAAGAAGCACGTCTATTTGTCGTGGGAGTCGATATAGGAGCCCCCGTAGATGTCCGACGATTTTGGGGTGTTGGGATATTGACAGAACTCACAGCTCTGGTAGATTGGTTGACGAGGTTCGCTTTACGAACTGTGCCAGTCAGTGCCAAGTCTGCCTGCTTGAAATTTTGTACATAGAGTTGTAAGGCATTAAGGCCCGTTTCGTCAACGATGTCGTGCATACGATGGACAATAGTCTTGGTTGGTACATGTTCTTTGCACCAGATAGCGGCAGACATGGCGCCATTTTCACCATTGATGTTCACAATGTTGTGCTGGTCGCGACGAGAACCCTTCACCGGAGCGATATCGAAACCTAGAATGTACCCATTCTGGTGCGCACATTCCACGTGCACTGCAATGCTAATTAGTAACATGACAACTCGGGTATGGTATGTGACTAGAATCTTACCTGGTGCTCGACATGAATGGCAATTTACACAGGCACCGCCTTTCTTCTTGCATGCTTTGCAAACCTCATCATACCTACTCGAAGGGATCGATGGAATCCCTTCAGATGGAACTAGAGCTTTCGCGTCTCCGAACTTCACTTCGGGTGTAAATACAGCACAGGTAACATGTACCCAATTGTTATTAGCTGTGCGCTTCAATGGCTCCCGAGGATTGACAGGCTTGTTGTATTCTTCCTGCTTCTTTCGAAAGTAGTCTGCAGCTTTCAGCGCATTTTCTCTCTCCACGCGATCTCGCTCCCGCTCCTTTTCAGATTTCTTCTTGTGAGAAACACGGGGCGGTTCCACAAAATCATGCTCTGTAGACTCTATAGGACAAAGCATGCATTTGTATTGCTAAAATCGTGAGTGACAGAACGAATATAATCAAGAACTCGAATGAACTTACAATTGATACTTTGGGATCTTTATCATTCTGACACATGTCACAGGTCCATTTGCTGGGGCTTCGGTTATCAACAACGCCATAGCAATTTCGATGCACAGCCATTCTACAATCTTTGCAGGAAAGGTGCTGATCTCCTAATGGTTCCAACTGGGCGCAAACAGCACATGGAAGAATCTTCGGCTTGGGAACTTCTGGAGGCGGAGGCGGAGGCGGAGGAGGTTTCTCTACTATTGGCTTCTTCTTTGGTTGCGCGGGTGCTACTATATTGGCGTTCTCAAGCGCAGAATCTGAAACTTCTTTGTTATCTGGATTGGTTTTGACTTTCTTCTTAGGCGGTTCTGACACTGCTGGCACTAGAGGAGGTGCAGGTACGGGTGTGCTAGCAGTCGAGACAGGTGCTGTAGTGGGGAGAGCATCCGTTTGACCAAACCCTTCGTTTGCAGCTTTGAGTTCTCTGAGATATTCTTCATCCATTTTCCGTTTAGAAGATCGTCCTCCTGAGGCCGCCATCTTTTTGGCTACTTCATCAACATCTTCATACTGTATTGCATAACGGCGCCAAAGTTCTGCACATCTTTGACATAACGCCAACACAAGTTGGTTACCTTTCTCCTTTGCAGCTCCTTTGCTATTGGAATTTTCAGGGACAGTAGTACCCACAGGGGTGTTGGGAGCTCGTCTCCATCTCTGCGAGCTTCTTACGGAACAAAATTTGCACTGAAATCCCTTCTTCTTCTGTAAAACTTTGTCGTTGTCAAAAGCTGAGTCGTCGTGTTCATCGGCAATGTCATCCTGTAACTTCCCCAAGGCCGCCTCTGCCCTTTTGGCCTCCTTTTTGCCTTTTCGCCCTGAATAATTACCCCATATTTGCTTTCCCTTATCCGTCTTTTTCCATGTATAATAAAATCGTACCACATCAGCAGGGCTCATTGTCTTCACATGCCTTTTAATGCTAAGCCACTCAGACCCAAATTTGGTAACGCCGTCCTCGAATTTTTTAAGCTCGGCAGGACTTAGTTCTGGCTCCTTAAACGTCTTCTTGTCTGTTTTTGAAAGTGCATCAAGCGCTTTGTCTACATCAAATTTGTTTGAATAGAGTAATTGTAGAGCTACATCGAGTAGATTCGTTGAAAATTCAGGCAGGCCTAACGGCTTCGCCATTGCTTTTGCACGAACCATGTAATCATTGACCAATTGCTCATACGCAGGAACATCCAAGGATAAAACTCTGTCGTCCGTTCCCCGTTCAGAATTGCTAGAAGCTTCGCCAACGTCTGGAATTTTAAACAGCAACGTCGCCGTATTTTGGGGATCATCATTACTTGCATCCTCACCCCGATTGATATAGCCATTCGGCTCATCCATAACCCAAATCGGACGTTTTTCTCGAGCAATTTTGTCGGCTTCTAGCGCGGCTATAGTTTCTTTCGATAACTTTGCATCCTTTCTGTGGCTACTGCTTCCTCCCTTGATGTATTTCTTCTTTATTTCTACAGCCTTAACATACTCCACAGGTCTGCCATGCCAAGCTGTAACATTGGCTTGATGACGATTTCCAATCCGAGAGCTGGCCCTTGGATAGATACGATCGTCATAATCCAGTGCATCTTCGACTTTGCAGTGTATACCCAAGTACCGAAAGAGCCATAGGCTTGCTTGATGAACCTGTTCCGCTGTACCTGGGTGAATAGACATTTCGACATCCTGAGAGTCTGATGAGGTGTTCCCGTTCGTATCAAGCGCATCACCTACTGCTGTGGGCAGATCATCTTCGTCTTCGTTCATTTCATCGTCTTCGGCTTCAACGATTCCATCTGTAATATTAGGGGTATTACGAGCCTCAAGTTTCTTTTCTTGGGCTTTGCTGCAAGGTCCACAAGCCCAAGCAAAGCCGCGCGAGGGTTTCTTCAACAATGGCGGATTTACACAGCTCATGTGGTAGGTGTTCAGACAAACCGCACAGTCAACAGAATCGTTGCTATGAGAATGTTAGCTAAGTTCGATACTTCAGGATCCAGAAATACACACCTTGCACTGTATCTGCAACAACGTTTACAGGTCTTCACGGCGCTGGTAAACTCCTTGCCACGCCCCACCTCCACAATAATATATTTCCACCTTTCATCAAGGACTTTCTTGACTGAAACAGGTACATTTATGACCTGGAAAACGGGTATAACGTCATAATATCGATGGATGTAACGATCGTACAGTTTATCGTACCAGAAGCTGTCCTTCGTCATTCTCAAGACATCGAGCTTCTCGACTTCGGCCTTGTGTTTGATCTGACATTTTCCACGTAAAGCTGTGAGAGGACTGATATCGGAGTGCATGGAAGCGAACACTTGACGCGTATCGCTAACCTTCTTTCCAATTTCTTTAGGTCGATAATACCAGTTGAGTCGCAGTGCGTCAATGGGCTCCTTGACGTCATTATTGATATGTAAGAATTCCATGATTCGACCAA